TGGAGAGGTTGTGTTCTTCTTCACAATACCCATCACCAGTAACAGTGGCAGTATTTGACCTGGCAAACTTCCCCATGTTGAAGTTCAGGTATGTACACATGTATGAAAGGAACATGTAATGGCTGAATACTTTTCAATGGGAACCTGTCAGTTTTTTCTTCATAGTCAATTAGCATTGGCAGAAAGTAGAGTCAAAGATGTTTGATCCAAAGTTATAATTTATGGGCTGGATGAATGAGGTCCTTACTGCATCATCCTTACTTTACATAGTTGTGCTTTTGTAGACTAATATTCATAGCATGTGGTGGCTAGAAAGGACCACAGAATAAGTATTCTTATTTTGTCCAGGTGTGTGTGGGTATGGGTGTGGATGTGGGTGTATGATAGATCTTTTTGGCAGTCTGGTGAAGTTTATGGATTCTTTCTCAGAATAATGTTTTGTGGTCTATATTTTTAATTGAATGGAATGTTAAATTTCAATTAGAGGTTAGTGAAAATAAAGATGTCAGACATGTTAAAAATGAGGCACCTAGCTAACAAAGTAGATAGAGTGTCAGACCTGGAGTAAGGATGACCTGAGGCCAAATTTAGCTTCAGACACTTATTTGGCTAACCCTGGGCAAGTCACTTAACCTCTGTCTATTTTAGTTTCCTCATATGTAAAATGGGGATAAGAATAGTACCTTCCCCCCAGAGCTGATGAGAGGATCAAATGAGATAATATTTGTAAAATGCTTTTTAAATCTTAAAGTGCCATATAAATGCTATTATGATTATTATTGCAATGTAATTTTTTTTCTCATCTAAGTCCATGAACTCCCTGAAATCTATCCAAGGATTTGGGTCTGTGGACCCCAGGTTAAGAACCTCTGCCATAGAAAAAAATTTAATTTAAAACTTTTAATAATAATAATTTTGAGTAATTAAGTATGTCTAAATGGAAGAACAGAAGATTAAGGGGTAGGGAGTGAGGACCCAAGAACAGTTCAAAGTGTTTGAAAAGCTGTCTCAAGGAAGAGGAATTAAACTTTCTTACTTAGTCTTTGAGGGCAAAACTACAAACAATGGGTGGAAGTCACAAAGAGGTAGATTTCAATTAGACAAAAGGAAAAATTTCCTAACTAGCAGAGTTGGCCCAAAGTGGAGACACCCAGTTTCTTTTCACTGGAGGTCTCCAAGTAAAGGTTGGCTTGTCACTTGTTGGGGTTGTTACTGAGAAAATTCCTGTTCAGGCACAGGTTAGACTCTGATGTACCTTCCAACCAATAGCTTCTGAAATGTTGAGCCTCACACACTACCTTGCTCAAATTAGGCATTCTGGAAATGTTTACTGAGATGCATAACAAACCCCTCTCATTTTCCAAGTGATAAAACTGAGACCCTGACAGATAAAGTGTTTTGTCCCATGTCACACATCCAGTTAGTGGCAGAGCTGGAACTGGAGTCCAATGTTCTGGATTCTAGGATTTTAGAATTCTATACCATGAGGCTGACTCCACACTGGATGATTCCTCATAATTTGGAGCACTTAAGCTAGATTGTTTCCTTCTGGCTCTCTGTATTTCACTTTGCTCTTCTATGTGGCTGGGAAAAAAGCTTTGGCAAAAAAAAAATGTTATTGGTTGACTTCCTTTGTGGATAAGCAATGAGCCAACCCTTCAGGGAATCAAGTTCAGTCACACTGCATGCCAGTAGCAGCAAAATAGGTTACCTTTGAGTTAATTAAAGATGACTCACTGGAATTATCTGTCATGCCCTTGCCCTGCTCTCACTTTCAAGAAGAAGTTCAGAAGTGGAGATTCCATTCGGTTATTTAATGAACCTCCTCCTTTCCTCTGCCCTCCCTGTAATGATTGAACAGTCTTTTGTTTGACAGATGATGGAGCTTCACTCAAGTGCAATTTCTAATCTGATTTATTTCTCCTACTTCTCACTTTCTTGTAAAAAGTTAGGGTTCATGTGAGTTCATTTAGCTTTAAAACAGGAAGGGACCTTACAGTTTGAATCCAATTCTTACATTTTACAGATGAAGAAACTGTGGCTCAGAGAAATGAAGGCATTTAACCCAAGGCCAGAGAGCTAGTAAATAACAGAGAAAGGTTTCAAATCGAGGTCTTTTGACTCCAAATCTGGATCATTTTCCATCCCATTGGGCTAGACTTTGGTTTTGTGTTCTAAGCCTTGCAATCCTGAGCAAGTAACTTAAGGCTTGTCTGTAAAAGGGAGCTGATATCTGGCCTGCTTACATTGCACAGGGTTATTGTGTTATTGTTATTACGTTAAGATCACAGAGTTGAGGGCTAGAAGACTCCGCAGATATCAGAGGGTCCCACTCCTTCATTCTATTGACCAGGAAATTGAGGGCCGGAGGGATTAAGTGATTTTCTCAAGGATATATAGGTAAGAAAGTAATTAGAATCAAACTTTGAACTTCAGTCCTCTGATACTCTTTCAGGTCTATCAACTATACTGTGCCGTGGATAAAGCACTGGGCTTGGGCTCAGGAAGACCTGAGTTTAAATACAGCCTTAGACACTTACTAACTGTGCAATACTGGACAATAGTAATAATAGCTATTATGTGCCACGCACTGTGCTAAACAATTTACAATAATTATCTCATATGATCATCACAACCCTGGGAGGTAGGTTAAATCACTTAATCCATCTGCCTCAGTTTCCTCATCTGTAAAGTGGAGATAATTACAGCACATACCTCTCAAGGCTGTTGTGAGGATAAAATGAGATAACTGTAAAGTATTTTGCATACCTTAAAGTACTATATAAATCCTGGTTATGATGATGATGTTGATGATGATTATAAACTGTTGTTCTGACTCTGGGAGAAAGAGTGAAACTAATGATTTTGCACAGCTCTGCCTCACTTATTTCCAATTCAGGAGCAAGTCAAGACATCACCCTTGTCATGTCACTAGTCTTCTTTGAGAGCAAAGGATGAACAATATCAATATTATAAACTAAAATATTAAACGAAGGTATGCTACTATGTTGGTCTAAACATAGGCTACGTCAAACAGAAGCTGCACTTCAAATGACAAGATCTTTATAAATTTTTTTTTTAAAAAGTACTGAAAAATAACACTGATTATAGGTTGCAGTCAGGTTTTATGCAAGACAGATTTTCTTGAGGGGATGGCTATCTTCAGATCAAGAAAATACTATTATTATTATTATTCTCTTCTATCTCTTTCCTCCTTCTTCCCCTAGCTTCTCTACCATGTTCTGTACCTCCTCTTTCCTTTCCTGTCCCTATTTCTGTTTTCTTTCTCCATTCCCCATGTCTTTTCCCATTCCCCATGTCTTTTCCCATTCCCTACTTGGTTTTGATACTTGTATCATCATTATGTCCTTCTCTCACAATCCCATTTCCAGGATAAACTCATCCCTAGGAAGCACATTGTCATGGAGATTGCTTCAGCTTTGGTAATCACACATCATTGATAACTCAGTTGCTTCTGCTTCTCATTGGAGGGCTGAAAGGCAGAGAAAAAAACTCCTCCCATAGCCCCTTTTTATAGAGGACTCAAAATTCCAGCAATTTCTTCATTTGCCACCAACTGCCCTATTTGGTTTTGACTCCACCGTTATCATCATACCCCTGTTTGGGGTACCCTCTGCCTTTTCTCTCCCCATTAGATTGTAAGTTCCTTGAGGGCAAGTGCTATCTTTCTTTTTATTTGTATCTCTCAAGCTTAGCACAGTGCCTAGCACATAGTAGGTGCTTGATAAATGTTTATTGTATCACATGGCATCATATTCCCCTGTTTAGTTGCCTCATTCTTTGTCTGTTTTCTTCTTCAAGGTATAAGAAAGAGTATGAATATCAAAAAGCATGGCTGGACATTTGCTCAGAAGTCAAGGAACTCTTCTACAACAGGAAGAAGTAGCAGCAGAAATTCTATGCAACAGCATCATGGATACCTACTTACTCATTGGGTTGGACAGGAGGTCAGTTTTCTCTGCTAACCACCTCTCCACTCTGAATATCATAGTCACATAAGTCTGAGTGGGCAACAGCATTGAAGATAAGAAGAAAGGAATAATTACAGGTGGTAAATAGTGTAATACCACTAAGGGACTAGTCTATCATAATGATAATGACAATGATATCTTAGCTTACATTTAAAATGTAACACATTTAATATTTTAAGGTATTATATCTTAATCATGGCTTACATTTACAATTACAAAAACACTTTATATGTGTTATCTTACTTGATCCTCATTATCATCTTTGTGATCTGTGAGAGGCAGACATTATTATTATTATTATTTTACATCTGATAAAACTAAGGCCCAGAAAAGTTAATTCAATTCAATTTAAACAAATATTTTAAGCAACTTGCATGTTCAAAATATGTTCCAAATGCTGGGGATAAATAGAGAGACAAAACTGACATAATACTTGCCCTCAAAGAGCTTATATACTAGTAGGCTTTAAAGGGTATCATATATAGATTTATAAGGTTGGAAGAATAGCAGGATCATTGATTTATAGAAAGAAGGCATTTTTTAGGGGTCATTTAGTCTAGCTCCCTCCATTTGTATGTGAGCTTCAGAGAGTTTAAATGGGTTGCCCAAATTCACAGAACTAGTAAACTGCAAAGTCAAGTTATGAACCCTGGTCTTCTAACCTAAAATACAGCATTCTTTCCACCATACAACACTAGGTCTTTACAACAGGACTAATGTGAAAATATGTTTAATAGGAATGTATATGTAGAGCCTATGTCAGATTACATGCCACGATGGGGAGGGAGGTAGGGAAAATTTAAAACTCAAAAGCTTATGGAAGTGAATGTTGAAAACTAAAAATAAATTAATTTTCTGTATGTAAAAAAAATAAAGACTTCAAGGAAGAAAAAAAACCCCCACTACGTATTTAGTTCAATTCCATCATTTTCCAGATGAAAACGTTGAGGATCATTGAAGTTATGTGACTGGAACCAGGATTCCTCCATTTTTATACATGGTGCTTACCGTCTAGGGATACCTTTTCCATCCACATATTTTCCTATGATAGAGCCAGATCTTTGCTTCCAGCTTGCTTTTGATGTGGTTGCTGTATTATCTTTCTGTAGAAACAAAGAAAAATCTTGAGGTCAGAGACTTTGAGTTTGCCCCAAACTCCTGAAAGTGTTTCCTCCATTTCAGACCTGGCCCTACTGTGCCCTATACTTGTCCTAATGGCCCCTATTTCTATTCTTCTTTTCCCTTTTAATATATTTTTCAATGCCACACCTCCTGTTCTCTTGCTAGTTCTTCATTCTTGTCACCTCATCCCATAAATTAATTTATAATATTTGAATTAAAAAGCATTGGCATTTTATGCTGGAGAAGATGTGGGAAAATTGGAACACTAATGCATTGTTGGTGGAGTTGTGAACTGATCCAACCATTCTGGAGATCAATTTGGAACTATGCACAAAGGGGTATAAAACTGTATGTACCTTTTGATCCAGCAATACCACTTCTAGGTCTGTATCCCAAAGAGATCATACAAATGGGAAAAGGACCCATATGTACAAAAATATTTATAGCAGCTCTTTTTGTGGTGGCAAAGAATTGGAAATTGAGGGAATGCCTATCAGCTAGGGAATGGCTGAACATGTTGTGGTATGTGAATGTAATGGAATACTCTTGTGCTATAAGAAATGATGAGCAGGCAGACTTCAGAAAAACCTGGAAAGACTTATATGAACTGATGCTGACTGAAGTGAGCAGAACCACTGTACACAATAACAGTCACATTGTGTGATGACTAACTTTGATAGACCTATTTCTTCTTAGCAACGCAAGGATCTAAGACAACTCCAAAAGCCTCATGAGGAAAAATGCTGTCCACATCTGGAAAAAGAACTATGGAGTCTGAATGCAGATCAAAGCATATTATTTGCTGTCTCTCTCTCTCTCTCTCTCTTTCTCTCTATTTCTGTTTCTTCTTTCTTGTGGTTTCTCCCATTGGTCCTAATTCTTCTTTACAATATGACTAATGTGAAAATAGGTTTAAGATGAATGTGTATGTGGAGCCTATATCAATTTACATGCCATCTTGGGGTGGTGGGATGGAAAAGATGGGGAGAAAATTTAGAACTCAAAATCTTATGGAAGTGAATGTTGAAAACTAAAAATAAATAATCTTATTATTTAAAAAAAGTGTTGGCATTTTAAAACAGTAAGAGACAACATAATCCTTAACTCAAAGGAATTCTTTTCCTGGTTTGGGACTTAGGAGACCTTGATTGATGAACTAACAGTCATTTCTGCCAAAATAGCTCCCATTAGAGTTGGTTATAGACACTGACAAAAAGAGAAACAGAAGACTAAACATCTTCATTCCAGTAAGAAAGGACATCAAGGAGAATTTACAGTAACCTATACTGATGTCATGAGTCTTATTGTTTTACCATAGTCAAGTAAGTTTTTTGAAGTGTAGGATGGTCTCCCTACCAGAAGAGAATATAAAGGTCCTCAAGGAATACCTTTTCACTCTTCATGCTGTCAGGCCTAATGAAGTGTTCCTTTTTTTTTTTAATGAAAGAAAGGCCTAGAGATTTTAAAAGAAGAAAAATAACAGAAGAGAATAATCTGTATCAAAAGGTTAGGAAATGGGGGAAGAAAAGAAGAGAAAGAGAAGATTCCCTAAAATAAGAATTATGTCCAAGTGGTAAAATAATAGCAACTGCCTCCAAAGGCTAAGACACTAATAAGAGTCTCAAGGAAGTAATGATTTGATAGATTAGCAGCTGAAAAGGCTAATTCCTAACTCCCAGTGTGCTCAGTCAGCATGCTCCTACACCTCCTCCACATTCTGATAGGGCAACACAAATTAAATTACCATTTTGTGACAGAAAGGTGCAGACCTCAATTCTGCCTCCCACCCCACTATGAGGAGGAGGTAGAGCTAATAGGAAAATGGAGGTGTGCTGTGCCTAGGGCTGTAGCAAGCTGTTCATCAGCAGGACCCAGCCACAGAACTAAAGAGGGACTAAGAGAATACCAATGTGTATGCACTTGGAGGTGCTGTTCCAGGGCTGAAGGAAAGGGGATTGGCATGGGTGGCAATGCTCACCACCCTGAGAAATCACTGGGAAAAGGGACTGAGTCCAATGAAAAGTATATTCCTCAATATAGGAAGAAGCTGAGACAGCTTTGAGGTCCAACCCTTAGGAATCTGCCTCAAAGGGGAAGGAGTCAGAAAGTAAGCAATAGGAGAATAAAAGGAAAAAAATGACTGAACTTACCCAAGCTCTTAGGAGGAAAACAACTCAGTTAAAAACTTTAAGCATGACAAGATAAATGAACAGGGAAGATACAAATAGCAGAAGGGAAGATGACCTCCAGATCATCCAAATGAGTTAAAAACACCTTTAAATAAATATTTCAAGGCAAAGGACAATGAATCCTGTACATTTCTAAGAGGACATGGATCCCCAGCAGAATATTCTCAAATGATTCATGAGAGAATAAGAATCACGAAAGTAAAATTTATAGTCTGCATAGCAGAAATAACTGACAAAATGGAAAATCTTGAATCCATTGTGGCAAATTTCTTCAAAGATACAAAAGACATAACAATTGGGAAAACAAGTATACAGAAGATAAGGGTAATCTGGAATAGGAGAAGTAAAAGCAAAAACGTTAAAAAAATGTAGTTTTTCTCTATATGCAAAACATATTGATCTTGAAGACAGGATACACAGAAATATTTAAAAATCATAGATCTCCCAGAAAAATAGAAGTCAAAAAACCTGAACATTTGAATGCGAGAAATAATGCAAGAAAACTATCTAGAACTTCTGATCTTCTCTAGGAATTGGATGCTGGGATAATGATGGATACTTGAGGGGGAAGTGATCACTCCATCTTAAAATTTGGAATAGAGAAGGAAAAGAAAAACAAGAGTAGCTTGACATGCACACTAGATTTTTGTAGAACAAATTTGAAAGGATTCAGCAAAAAGGTGGGCAGGATGCTATCAACAAAATTAGAGGAAATCAACTCAGGAAAGATGGGAAATGCTGAAGAAGGAAATTCTTAAGAAAAATGAGAAACTATTCATAACTTGAATTTTTAAAAAGATATCTATCGGAGAGGCAGTAGGGCAAGTCAGGAAGAATGAATGAAAAAACTTGATATAGTCCTATAAGAACAATTTCAAGAACTCTAAAGCCCAGAATGAATTGGTAAGGAAACCTTTTTAAAAGAGGGTTTTTTATGTCAGGAACTCTAAAGCCCAGAATGAATTTGTAAAGAAACCTTTTTAAAAGAGGATTTTTTTTAAAGTTACATTTTTTTAAAGGAATAATCAAAGAAGGAAAAGAACTCCTACTCAGGTGTAGGGGAAAATGATAATGGACTTTTGAAAGAAGCAATAATTAACTATAATTTTACTTCTATTTTCTCTTTGGAAATAAAATTTTGGAATGGAAAGATCAGAACAAAAATGGCTAATTGAAATTCAAGATAAATAAGGAGATAGTAAGAGAATACTTTTCAGCCCTCAATGAGTTCAGGTCATCAGATCCAGACAAAACTACCTTAAAGGATACTGAAAGAATTGATGGATTTAACAGTTGAGCTACTGTCAATGACCTTTGAAAAATCATGAAGAATTGGAAGATGTCAACAGAACTGGAAAGGGGCAGGAAAAGAATATAGTCTAAATCTACAGGTTTTTTTTTACTTGACCTTGATTTATGGTAAAATTTATAACTTATTATCAAAGAGATGCTCATTGAACACCTAGAGAAGGATCATAAAGAGCCATGGATTTGTGCTCTACAACCCCCTCAACAATTTTCACACTACTGTGGCAGTATCTACCAGCACACCTGCTCTTGCCCTCATTCCACCATTTTGTGGCAAAAAAGGGACAGAACTCAATTCTGTCCTCTACTTCACCATATGCAGGAAGTGGAGATATAGGAAAGTGGAATTGTGTTCAGCTGGGGGGCTACTGCAAGGTAGACAGTAGGGCTCAACCTCAGAACTAAAAATGAATTAGGGAAGCTCTCCTGACTCCCAGATCTATGTATATAGCCCAGACTTGGATCATCAACTACTTACTGGTCATTTCCAACTGAAGGACCCATAGACATCTCCAACTCAATATTTTCAAGGCAAAACTCATTATCTTTCTACTCAAATCCTCCCCTCTTTTTAACTTCCTTAGTTTAATTGAGGGTGCTATTATCCTGCCATTCACCCAGGTTCATATTTTCCTCTCTGACATTTCCCATACCCAATCAGTTCCTAACACGTGTTGCATCTATATCCTTAGCTCCATTTCAGACCATACATTCCTTCCCCCTTTTCAGGTTCTGTTTATTTCTCACCGGCAGTTGCCTTTTAAATTGCCTCCTTGCCCCACCCCCATACCCGCCAACCCATCTTCCACATGGCTGTCCAGCTGATATTCCTCAAGCACATGCCATAACTCTTCCCTTCTCAAGAAGCTTCAGTGGCTCCCTAATGTTTCTAGGATGGAATTATAAGCTCTTCTGTTAGATATATAAATATCTTTGCAATCTGGATCTAGCCTAGCCCTCTAGAATTTTTGCATATTCCTCCCCCTTTGTGCACTCAGTTTTCCACCCATACTGTGCTACTTACTGTAGTAAGCAGAGGAAGCTAGTGATGCAGTGGATAGAGTGCTGGGTTTGAAGTCAGGAACACTTGAGTTCAAATCTGACCCCAGATACTTACTAGCTGATGTGACCCTGGGCAAGTCACTTAACCTGTTTTGAGGATACTAATAGCACCTACCTTGCAGAGCTGTTAGGATGATTAAATGAGATCATATTTGTAAAAAGCACATAGCATTGTGCTTAATCAATGTTCTTCCCCATATCTGACAAGCCATCTCTTTCCTCTGTGCTTTTCCACAGGCTTCACCATCCTCCAACATTCCTTTCATGACTTGAATGCTCTCCCTCCTCCAGTCACTCAGAATCCTCAATTCAGCTTAAGAGGCCTGTCCAGTCGAGTACCCTTTTTTCTTTAATTTGTTGCTGATGTTCAGTTGTTTCAATCATGTCCAACTCTTTGTTGACCCCATTTGGGGTTTTCTTGGCAAAGATACTGGAGTGGTTTGCTCATTTTACAGATGAGGAAACTGAGACAAATAAGGTTACATGACTTGCCTAGGATCACACAGCTGGTAAGTATCTGAAGCCAGATTGAACTCATGAGGATGAGTAGTCCTGATAGAATGCCAGGCCTAGCATTTTATCTACTGTGTCACCTAGCTGCCCATTACTGTGTATTTAATTTGTGTGCATGTATATATATGTATATGTATATATATATATATACACACATATATATACACATATACATATATACACACACACATAGGCACATACACACACTTATCTATGTAGCTGTACATTGAAAAGCTTCTTAAGGATAAAGATTATTTCATTTTATCTTTCCATCTCTAGCTCATTGTGGACACTTAAAAATTTCTTGAATGAATGAACTAGGAATGTTTGCCTTGGAATAGGAAAAAAAAAATCATCTAGGAGGGAAATGATAGTTGTCTTCAAGTCTGTGAAAGGCTTTCCCATGGAAGAGAGACTAGATTCAGCCCCAGCGGGCAGACAGCAGCAATGGAGAGAAGATGCAGAGAGATGTGTTTAGACAACAACTTCCTAACCAGTGGAGCTGTCCAAGCTTCCTCAGAGCCCCATGGGCCATCTTACCAGAGATCTTTTAAAAAAGACTGAAGGACCATTTGTTGGAGATGTTGTTTGGAGGGATTGTTGGTCAGGTATGGTTGGGACGAGATGGTCTCTCACATTCCTTCTATCTCAAAGATTCTGTGTTCCTTGTTCTGGTCTCATTTTTCAGTGTCACTGTGACCTCTGGCAAGTTCTTCTACCTGTCTGAACTTGTTTCTTCATCTATAAAAAAGGAGGAGGGGGGTGATAGTCCTAGATGGACCAATTTCACTCAGAAATTAGATGATTTGCCTGTCAAAGGATTTCCCTGCAAAGGCTATTCTTTGTGAAGTCCAGAGAGACTACATGACCTCTGAGGTGCCTTAGATTCTGTGGCCTTCTCATTGGTGTCAATTGCTAATAGGAAGACTTTAGGTGTGGGACTGGAAAGCTATTTTTGGTCAAGTTGACCTTCTTTCTAAAATCACATACATGTAAATATCAGCCTATCTAGTCTACTGATAAAGTCAGTTCTCTTACACTCTTTTCTCCAAATTCCAACAGATAATGAAAAAGGGGGAAATTTCAACTAGTCGCTTAACCTTTATTCTGCTTCCTTCCTATCAATAAGAAAGAATTTGAAGATGGTGTTGGTGGAAAAGGAGGGGCACCTTATGCTCTGTTTGTCAATGTCCCCTAACAGAAGTCTTGGGGGTGGGGAGGAAGTGGAATCACATCACAGAAAGAATTTCATGTTAATCAACTAACCTTATGTTTCCCAAGCACAGTTTAATAGAGGAAGAGGATGTGCGGCTGCTTCCCAGGTGCCTGAAGATAAGAGCTATGATGATTTCCCAATGAATCTTTAATTATTATTTGTCACAAAGATTATTTAGCAGTTACTTTTTTTCCCTGTGTCTTTCATTTCAGAGCATAATCCCTTTCTCCTTTTTAAGCAATCCTGAGTCCAGCAAGCAGGGAGAGGAAACAGGGCATCAGGGTCATTTTTAGTCTAAAGCTTCAAAACAAATTCTCTGTTACTTTAATCATTAACACCTTTATTATGCAACTGGAACATAAATATGTTGATGTCAGACCCTTGGCAATGAGAGCCAGGAAGGGGAACAAGTGTACTGCAGGTCTGCTTTACAAAAGAAACAGAATTCTAATCCTTTGCAATTTAACCACCTTGGACAAGGCTCAAGGCAGAGCTGCTTTATAATAATAGCTCATATTTAAATAGCACTCTAACATATGTTGTCTTTTCTGATCCTCACAACAACTCGGGAAGTAGATGACTATTCCCATTTTATAGATGAGGAAAGTGAGGCTCTGAAGGTTACATAGCTAGCCCAAACTTAGGTGGCTAATAAATGGCATGGAAGAAGCCCTAAACCTGCTCCCTTGAATTTAGAGGCAATGTAACAGGAAAGGACACTGGACTCCAAGTCAGGAAATAGGAGTTTAATTCCTGGCTCTGCAAATCTGGACAGATCACTTGACCTCAGTCTCCTTAACTAAAGGAGTTGCACCAGTCAATGGGTTCTTTCTTTCTTTCTTTGTATCTTTCTTTCCTTCTTTGTATCTTTCTTTCTTTTTCTTCCTTCCTTCCTTCCTTCTTTCCTCTCTCTCTCCCTCCCTCCCTTACTCTCTTTCTCTTTTAAGTGACTTGCCCAGGGTCACACAGCTAGTAAGCATCTGAGATTGGATTTGAATTTAGGGCCTCCTGACTCCAGGGCTGGTACTCTATCCACTGTGCTACCTAGCTGCCCCCAGTCAATGGGTTCTTAACCTGTGGACTGTAAAACTTGGTGTGTTTTTGGCATTTTGATAAATGCATTTCAATTCAATGTTTCTTTTTTCTTTTGCAATTCTATTTTTTTTATTTTATATATTTAAAAACACGATTCTGAGAAGGGGTCCATAGGCTTCACCACACTACCAAATGAGTCCATGACAAAAAATCTGGTTAAGAACTCCTAGACTGGAGGATCTCAAAGGCCCATCCCAGATCTAAATCCTATGAGCCTGTGCCTTCTTCTAAGTATCTCAACTTATAACCTCCCAGTAAAGTAGGAAGTAGGTTGGAGAATATTCTCCTTTACGTTATAGTAGAACATAAATAAAGAGGTTGAATGATGATTCGCCTCAGGTCACATAACAAAGGCAAGGTGTGATGTGTTACACTACTTGTAAGGAAGTAAGTCTATCTGAAGCTACCCCAGGCCCCTTTCCTATCTTCCCTCACTAAGGTGCATGTTTGCAGATGCCGTAGCATTATCTTCACAGAGAGCTGAATAGAAGCTAGGATCAAAAAGGGAGGCTTCAGGGTCAATTCAGCACTTTGTGCTATTTGGGGACGTACACTCATAGAAGCACAGAATATATCAGAATTAGAAGGGGCCTCCGAGGCCATCTAGTGCAAACTGTGCCTCACTGATGATGCCCTCTTCAGCAAACCCAATAAATGATTATCCTGCTTTTGATTGAATACTTCTAATTAAAGGCTAACTGCTGAGGCAGCCCGTGCCACTTTTGGATAGCTCCACTTGACAGGAAGTTTTTCCTTATGTGAACCTTTAATTTGTCTCTCTGCAAATCTCACCCTCTGGTAGCAAACAGAATGGCGTCTAATCCATCACTCTTCCACATGACTCCTTCAAATACTTAAAAACAGTGATCACGTTCCCTTTTGAAGACTCCAGGATAAACATCTCCGGTTCTTTTAACAGATGCGTGACTATGGACCATGTTATGGCAGAGTTGGTTAGCTTGCTCTGCCTTTTTATAATAGTGTCCTCCTCATATGGCCAAAAATATCTAACATAATTCTCTTCACCAGGATTTGGAGTTATCTTAGGCCAAGTAGAGAATGTAGCTCAGTTCCTACATGGCCCAATGCCTTGTCCACTCCCTGGGGAAGGAGGCCTTGATTTATTACCTGCAAACACATGTCCCGTTCATCCCGTAGGTGTTTGTTCTTTTCCCTGTGAGACAGAAAGGAAAATGAAGCAAGGAGAAATCAAATCATGTATGAAACTCACTCACAAGATTGACTTATTCTGACCACTTCTCTTTTTTTGGGGGTGGGGTGGTGAGGTGATCGGGGTTAAGTGACTTGCCTAAGGTCACACAGCTAGTAAGTGTTAAGTGTCTGAGGCTATATTTGAACTCAAGTCCTCCTGACTCCAAGGCCAGAGCTCTATTCACTGTGCTACCTAGCTGCCCCTTTTTTGATGTGTACATCAGTTTTTTTGCTTTTTTTTTTTTTTTTGATTAGGCAATTGGGGTTAAGTGACTTGCCCAGGTCACACAGCTAGAAAGTGCCATGTGTCTGAGACTGCATTTGAACGCAGGTCCTTCTGACTCCAAGGCTCTATCTACTGCGCCACCTAGCTTCCCCTTCTGACCACTTCTTATGCCATCCTGGCAGGCCCTGAGAGACAGAGAAGGCAAGATACTGTAGGATCTCTTCTTCCAAAGATTGTGAGCTAAAAGATGGTTTACTTATGGTCCTTCTTGTGAGGCAGAGGGAGTAGGGATGAGTGAGATTAGGGATTACTAATCTTTTTTGATTCTCATGTCCCTTGGCTTTCAGTAAACCTTTTTGTTCCTCATATTCAATAGGAAAGTAAATAAATCCTAGAATACACTAGAGCTTTGTACACATAAGAAATAAAAAAGTTACCAAATATTCCTTGTATTCCCTTGACAAATTTCTTCTCTCCCAGGTTGGGCACCCCTGATTAGCTGATCTCTTAAAGTCACTTTGATCATCAGAATTACCAGAGCTTTGAGAATTCTTACTAGGGATTGATTTCTGAAGAGTGCAGTGATCTGAGGGAGAAGCGCAACTCAACAAACCTGTATACTGTGCTAGATGCTGGGGAACATAAAGGAGACATTCCATAACCACTGCATGGAGGACAGAGAAAACAGAAGGTAATTTTAGAAGGGAGACAACATTACAGTTGGAGAGAAGAGACAATTATGACTTGAGGGGACATCAGGATTAAATAAATATTTTTAAGTATAAGGATACCTGGGCATGTTTGTAGTAGCAGGAGAATTACTAATTGGTAAGAAAAGACTGAATGGGGGGTGGGCATGGGAGGGAGAGAGAAAAAAGGAAGGAAGAGGGAGATGAAGGGGAGGAGGAGGAAAGGAGGAGGAAAGAGAGAAGGTGAGGGTGAGAGAGACAGAATGAAAATGAATGAGAATGGGTGAAAGGACAAGTTCCTGGAAGAGAGAGGGGAGGGCTTGGAATCAAGGGCACAGTTACAGGTATTGGTCTTGGCAAGGAAAAGGGGCAAGGATGATTTTGAAGAATAAGGTAGAGAAGGATGACCTTCTGTAATGAATGGTGCTGACCTCAATTTTTTTGAGATAAGAGGAAAGGTCCTCTGATGAGGAGAAGGAGCAGTCTAGAGGGTCTGAGGAAAGAAGGCAAGGCTTCAAATAGCTATTTCACAAGGTGTGAAAAAATAAAGAGTCAAACCAGGAAAAATAAAAGGATTGCCATGCAGCAGTGAGGTCTCGGTTGAGGTTAAATAATATAAATTTGTAGTAGACCCAGTTGACATAGTTGTGAGATGTTCTCCAGGTTCAATCAGCAGCACCGGGAGAGAAGGATGTAACCTTGAGCTACATGAGGTATTACTGGTAAAAGGACTAGATGGTGGGGATTGAACGTAAAAGATGGCAGATATTTGTGACAAGGATTGAAGAGTAGAGGATAGTGGATGATTGCAACAAATATGGAGTCAAGACTGTAAAGGGGAAAAAAATCAGAGAAGGGGTGATGAATTAGCATAAAAGGGAAAAGTAGAGTAACTGGAGTTTCTAAAAAGGTGAAGTGAGGCATAGGGAGAGATAGAAGGACAAGATATCATGACCACAGGGAAGAATGTCGAGTTCACAATCATGAATGTAATACAGTTACGAATAAAATCTAAAATGTGACCACATTTGTAGATGGATAACTTAAGGAGAAGCAATAGATGATGGAAGTTCAGATGATTGATGAATTGGCAGGCTAGGGTGTTCAAAGGAACATCAATATTGAATTGAATTGAATTGAATTGAATTCCCAAGTATGAAAGCAGATTTTAGGGGGGAGAGGAAGATTGTGATCCAGGCACTGAACTTCTTGAGAAATGAATGGAGAGTACTAGAAGCCAACTGCAACAAGGACATGACTTGGGTCATTCTAGAAAGAATGAGCCACAAATAAGTGGTGATGAAGAAGCAGGCTGAGAGCATCCAAGTGGGGAGCTTGGAGTATGTCTTGTTCTCTTCCTGATCCATATTGTTAGAGGAATGAGAGAAACAGTGCCTTGTACATGAGAGATTAACCAGGGGTACAGCGTCTTTCAGGGGAAGCCAGGTTTCTGAGTGCAAGAAGATGGAAAGTACTTTAGTGGGGCAGAAATTTGTTAGCTATGAGACAGCTGAGTAGGACCCCTACCCTCCAAGGGTTATATAATGAGAAAGGATTGTATCAGCCTGCTGTCTCTCCAAACACCTAGGAGAACAGGACAGAAGGAACAGGGAGACTTGATCATGGATCTGCTGTTTGGGTCCCCACGGACCTGACCACGCTCACAGTCAGTACAAATAAGGGAAGGGATGACAGAAACCTAGAAGATTTTCCACACGTAGAGTATGCACTTGGCTCTCACCAGCGCCTGGTATCCAAGGTCCTCGTCCTGGGCTGGGTCCTGGTCCTCAGAAACCTTGTTCCTAGACCCTTAATGGATATAAAGTGCTGAGCCACTGTTGTCTTACTGAGTTTGCTGAAGCAGGGAAAAGTAGTTATACTGAAGCAGTAAGTTCTAGGTCAAGAAGGTCTTCAATCTAGATCCTGACAAGGGACTGGGATTGGAATTCTCCATTCCTACCCTTGAAAGGGGAGCTAGAAAATAGAGGGATGGAACACAAAGGTTTCAGGAAAGAAAAGGTAAAATCCATCAGAAACCAGGGTGGTCCCAGGGTCAGAGTTCAAGGTTGTGGTGAGAGAAGATAAGGAAATCAAGGTAGATGGCAAGCCTGCAGGCGATGTGGTCTGGAATCAGGGCTGTAGAATTGTCTTATTCTGTTGTGTTTGTAGAGCTTGACACTACCGCAAAGGCCTATTGTCAGACTAGGTATCACTAACTTGAAAAAACTATGAAAACCTTGCTGCCTCTAGGTAAAACAAAGAAAGGCTGGTACTACTTGCTTTTGTAGTTTTTGACAATCCATTGTCTATTAATAGTTTACCTTTCTTTAAATACTCTGAAGAGTCTCATAAAACTTACTAAGCCCCAGAAGTTTGCCTTTGAATACACCCACTAATTGAATGAATAGTTCTATAGGCTAATTAATATCCCAAATTTCTATGCTTTGTTTTCCCTTTGTTTCCCTATCATTTTACTTAAAAAGTTTTGCTTTTGAGAGCTATTGAGAGTTTCTTGTTATCCATACTAGCCTTGGAATCTGCAGTGGGTCTCAGGTATCTAAATATAATCAATAAAGGAAATATATTCTGTCTATGCAGTTAGTAGAGTTTTAGTAGATCATTTCTTTTATTGCCACAGGAATGGACAAGAATGCTCAGTTACTGCATGCAGCATTTTAATATTGCCATATGAAAATAAAAGCAATAAGTAATATATGATAAAAATAATTTCAGTGTAGTTTGGTTCCCAAAGTTTCTTCAAATAGTATATAGGATGCTCCAAACCCAAGAGTTCTAGCAAAGGCACAATTCAGTTTGCTTAGTCAAACCCTCTTTTCCTCTTCTGCTGTTATGCCTCCTCCTCTGGATGGATAAAGCAGTAGAGACAGTTCAATACCTTTCCTAGATGATGTTTGACTTGGATTAAGTGTGGGATCCATCATTATGTGAAGATTTAGGAACTCTGGATTCAAAACTAGACTCTTCTTCATTGCAATAGAGTGTATGTGCTTGGGACCAGGTACAGATTGAAGCTCTTACATTTAGTGCCTCTTTGTTCACTATCTTACCAATGGCATGGACTTTCAACTGCTGCTTACCATGACTAGCTCATTGCTTGTGCAATGGGGTTATAAGCCAAGGGCAAGGCCAACTCAGACAGAAACTTTTTTGCTTATTATCTTGCTTCCTCTTTTCCTTTTGATTCTTTTAACTTTCCATTCAAATGTGCAGTGACCAAGAATTGTGCTCCATATCTTTTTAATCTCTAGGTCCTACTAGTCTGGGGTACCTCTTCTTGCTTTCCACATCTCATCCCTTCTGCATGCATGCTTCCTCTGTCACTCCCTATTAGTCAGACAAAGTCTTGCTGCTATACACATCAAGGGAGACGAGGCAGAATGAGGAGGAAGCTACGCTGAAAAATGAACCCTTCTTTTTTTAGGAAAGTATTTGCCTCCTTCTTCTTTCCATAGTTGCAACTTAACTTCCTTTTGAGGCCTCCCATCTCCTCCCTGTTTCCTTCATTTTGCCCATTTCCAGATCTCCTTCCTTTCTGTCAATAACAGTTCATCTCACTTTGGTGGCCATGTCTGCCTTCCAGGTCTGTGTTCTTTAGCTCAGTTTCCTGATTTTAATTTATCATCCCAGGTTAGTTTGGTAACTGTGCAGTAATTCTGCAAAGGCTTTGGTGATATACTTCTGTGTGAATGTTCTGCTACTTCAAAACAAAACAAAACAAAACTCTTAAGTATTTTTCAAGGGTTTTCTATTCCTTCCTTCCTGTTTGAATTGCCCTCTTATTTCTTCTAAATACAAAGGCAAAGAACACACAGCTCAAAAGTGGTGTCCTTGTACATCCTGTTCTGTTTTATTTTTAATCAGAAGTTTCCCAAGTAATAAGTTGTTGTTGATGTTTTGTGAGGGATCGTCCAATGTTGGCTACAGGCCACGTAGTGAAGTGGGGTAGGAACAAGATATTGGGAAATAACCGGAGGGGTCTCAATGTTTTCTCCCCCAATTTTGCTAAAACCTGGCCTTTTCACTTTCATATTCACTTCTTGCTGAGACTGGCTTGAATCATATGAGTGGTACAAATATGAAATGCATTATATTCAACACATGTTTAAAATTCAAAACATTTCAGACACTATATGCTGTGGCCCAATTATGCTTTCAAGTAAAAGATTTCATAGTTAACCCATAAAGATGAATTCAAAATATGATGTCCTAATGAAAGATACAAAGGAGTCTAACTCTTCCACTTTCATTCCACAATGATCTAAAAGGCACACCAGATGGAACAATGGTCAAAAATACCCAGAGAAAATCCAATATACTCACTCAGTCTAACACACAATGACAACAACAACAAAATAATTGCAGCTACAGATGCTGGAAGATGGGTCTTGCCAAAGAAGCCAGCATGAGCATGAGTGAATAGGCCAGAAACCCCCAGCATGGGAGCTCACAGCATTGCCCTTACCAGAAAAACCCCAGGGTCAATATCTATAGAGCCCTGACCAACAGGTCCCCAAGGGACACAGAAGCAAAAGTGCTCTGACTTGGAAACCCCAGGGGAAGAAGAGTGGTTGTGTTCACAACAGCATTCAGATAAGGCGAGGTCCCAGGAGACACATAGGAAGCAATGCATTGATCAAAAAACCCCCAGGGGTAAAAGAAAACCTCCCACTGCCCTGATCAGGGAAAGTCTATGCTCTGAATCTGGGGATGAGGAAACCCTCCAGGACTCTATGTATAGACATACTAAGGAAAGTGGAAGCCAGCAGCAGAAAGCCAGGGAAGCAGGATCAGGGCCAAATAAAGCTTGATCCCATCCAAGAGTGTGGAAGAAAATGAGGCCAGACACTAAATCTGAAATCAAGAACTGAGGATAAAGATATGAGTAAACAGAAGAAAATACTAAATACTATGAAGAAATATTATGAGTCTGCATACTCTGACATAGCAATACTACTACAATTAGATACAGATGAAAAAAACAAAAAACAAAAAGGAAAATGTCTTATATGCACAAAAATATTTATAGCAGCTCTTAAATTGAGGGGATGCCCATCAGTTGGGGAATGACTGAACAAGGCATGTGATTATGATGGAATACTATTGTGTTATAAGAAATGATGAGCAGGATGCTCTCAGAAAAACCTGGAAAGACTTACATAAGCTGATGCAAAGTGTAGTGTACTGTGTACAAGGAAACAGCAATATTGTGTGATGATAGGCTGTGAATGGCTTAGTTGTTCTTAGCAATACACTGATCCAAGACAATTGTAAAGGCCTTTGATAAAAAATGTTATCCACCTCCAAAGAAAAAACTGATGGAGTCTGAATGCAGATCAAAGCATACCGTTTTTAACTTTCTTTATTTTTCTTGTTTTTTTTTTTTAAATCTATGTTTTCTTTTGCAACATGGTTAATGTAGAAATATATTTTGCATGACTGCACATGAATAATCTATATTAAATTACTTGCCTTCTCAAAAAGGGGGGAGGGAAAGAAAGGAGGGAGAGAATTTGGGACTCAGAACTTTAAAAAATGAATGTTAAAATTTTTTTACATGTAATTGAGAAAAAATAAAATAAGAGGAAAAAACCCCATACTATGCTTCTGTGATTTTAGGGTATTAGATAACTTTGGAATGGTACTTCCAAACTGAGTTGTCTAGAATCCAGTCTTATGAACACCAGCTATAGACTTACCTTAAGAAATCCAGCTGTTTCAAAAGTCCTGTCTTTTCCCTCTGCAAATTTTCTGTCACCCGGTATACTTCCCTAGGAAATAGGAAGCCACAGAGTTTGTGAGTCACAGTAGGCAAAATGAAGGTGGGCACAGTGAAGAAGTCAGACTTACATACAAGCCCTTCCCAAAGGGATAAAAAAAGTGAACACAATGAATAATGTACTATGACAGATGATAGATGGGATTTGAGCAAGAGAAAGAGATGCTCTAAACCCATTTAGGAGATTGTTAAACATATCTTTATTTGTAAGTTCTAAAGTGTACCACTCTCTAGTCTGATCTCCCTTTCCTCAAGAGTAGTAGTAGTAGTAGTAGTTCTTCTTCTTTTTCTTCTTCTTCTAATACTACTACTACTTCTCCTTCTCCTCCTTCTTCCTTCTTTTTTTTTGTTTTTTTAGTTAAGTCATCTTCACTAAGTCATCTTCCAATAATTGCCTTTGTATTTCCAACAGCTGGCATTGTTCCTGGCACATAAAAGATACTTAAAAAATTCTTGTTGAGCTTAGTCTCAGGTTAGAATGGGAAAAAAAAATGCTTCTTTCTTCTCATTGTGGAGGTGGGAAGCATGATTTCTTTTTTTCTTTCACTAAAAATTTTTGTCACAAAAATTTTGCCTAATTAACTGCTTTCCCCTTCTAATTTTAACTGCATTTGTTTTTTTTATCAAAAACTTTTAAATTTTATGTAATCAAAATTGCCTATTTTATCTTTTGTAATCCTCTCTATCCCTTGTTTAGTCATGAACTCTCTCCCTATTCATAGATGCAATCCACATTTTTTTTCATTGCCCCTCTAATCTGTTTATGATGTGACTTTTTATATCTAAGTCATCAATCCATTTGGAACTTATTTTGCTATATGATGTAAGATATTGATCTAAACCTAATTTCTGATAGACTCTGCTTTCCATTTTTCCTCAGAATGTTTTGTTCAATGGTGAGTCTTTATCCCAGTCTGTGGGATCTTTGGTTTTAAAGAACATTAGGTTACTGTGTTCACTTGCTTTTGAACACTGTATTCCTAATCTGTTTCACTAATCAACCTCTATTTTTTAACTAGCATCAAACCACTTAATGATAACTTTTGCAGTATATTTTGAGATCTGGTACTGATAGGCCCCTTTCCTTCCCACCTGTTGTTCTAACATATGAATTTTGTTATTTTTTTCCAGTTCTACAAAGTAATCCTTTAATAATTTGATTGGTGTGACAGTGAATAAGCAAATTAATTTACATAGTATTATAATTTTTATTGTTTTGGCTTGGCAATTAATATTTTCTCAATTATTTGGGTCAGTCTTTATTACCATAAATAGTGTTTTATAATTGTATTCATATAGTTCCTGCATGTGTCTAGGAGATATGGAGATATGCTCTGGCAACTGCTTCTGCAGATATTGCAGCTAGAACTACTGAATCTCCTGAAAATGCAGGAAAGAAAGTTCTTACCACCAAAGTGCTTGCTACTATCAATGGTTCAAGATCAGAAACTGATATAATTTTCTCAGTGGAAATGACATTAAAGAGGATGCATTATCATCTGTTTGGCCTGAGAACCTTACCCTGGGACCATGGGATTGTGAGTGGTTAATGCAAGCTTTTTCATTCATTCATTTATTCATTCATTAATATAAATACAGAATGTAACAATCCCCACCCAGGTACTGGTGATGGTGCAGAAGAGGTCCCCATACCCTCTCTGCAGTAAGGCCATAGTAGGACACTGGTAAGGAAGAATGCAGTGGCAGAAGGAGAAAGTGATGGTAAGGGGAGAGATGTGTTGAAGTAGCCATGGGAGATTTCCTACCAACCTGATAATAACTTGATTCTTTTGGAGGTCTACCCGGAGGAGTCTCTCTCTCTCCCTACCTCCCATAATCCCTCTAGAATTCCCCTCTATAATAATACAATAATTATAGAGTTGATGTGCAATAACAGCAAACAAATCAAACTCTAGCTCACCTCAGACAATCCTAATTATGTAACAAAACTTCCCTGTATCCTGCAGAGCTGGAAATTCCAAATGTTTTATTACCATGATATTTAATTTGAACTTGAGCAGAAAACAATTTATTTTCCATTATCCAAACTGGGTCCCCAAATACCTGTCCATCTTGAGGATTCTGCCCTGATTGGTATAGTGCTTAGGCAGGCTGCTCCAGCCCTATCAACTTTCACCCTCCACCTTTCCTTCTGACTCCTTCCCAAGTCTCCTTGGCCCTCTCCTGAACCCCCTCTCCCCAGAGAGGTTCTGCCTGGAGGATGATATTCTATCAGAAAGAGAATGGAAAAAAAAAAGCTCGGCAGAACCCTTAAGCCTAGGCTCCCCCAAGGAGTGTCTGTTTGTGCACCTGCCTGCTGCCTCGTTACCACATTACCCAATGCTCCAGGGCCCATTGGCAGGCACCGAGCCAACAGTTGAAGATATAAAAAGTAAAAAGGAAAAAAAAAAAGGAGAGAAACTGACTTTCATTAGTGAAAACTGTGATATTGAAGATGTCTGCTGGGATAGCTAAATAAATAACCAGCAAGGAAAAGTACATCCGTTTATGAGATATTAGTTAAATGTAAATGTCAAGAGAAGGAGAAGGGAAGGGGGAGAAAAAGGAAGAGGAGGAGAAAGATTTCTCACTCTCTGATCCCAACTCCGACCTTCACGAATTATCATCTTCAACATTATCAAGTATTATAAATTAGGGGAAATCACACTGGATCTTGTCCCAGGTCTGCCATGTGACATTAACCAGTCATTATATCTCCCTAAGAAGTTTCTTGATCTCAGTGTATAAAATAGGGATGGCCTACCTCAATCCATATGATGAAATTGCAGGGCATGGGCTTAGGTCTTCTGGGTATCCCTCCCAGGAAGCCTAAGGGCATAGGGATCTCTTGATGGTTATCCAGGGACCTGGGCTGCCTCTAAGATGATTAGGGACTGAGAGTCAAGAGAGACTTTATATGGTTTCCCTTCTTGTTTATTTGTTTCAATCATGGTAATAGCTAACATTTTATAATACCAGGAACTGTGCTAAGTACTTTACAAAATATTATCTCAATTGATCCTCACAACAACCCTGAGAAGTAGGTACTATTATTATCCCCGCTTTCAGACGAGGAAACTGAGGTAACTAGAGGATAAATGACTTGCCCAAAGTCACACAGCTAATAAATATGAGGCTGCATTTGAACACGTCTTCCTGATTCCAGGGCTAGAACTCTATCCCCTTGGTCACCCAGCTGCCCCTGAAATGACGTAAATAATCGAATGAATACTTGTCAGGTAGCTTGTAGAAAGCATGCTTTTTTAGGTTTGGGTTGGATTAAATGGCCTCTGAAGCCACTTCCAAATTTGAAATTGTGATTATATATCTGTCTTAGATTTTTTTTTCTATTGGGTTTATATATTTTTTGCATGGTTTAGTTTTAAGCTTCTTGAGGGCAGGGTCTGTGACATTTTTGTCTTTATATTCCAAGTGTCACTTGTCACCAGGAGTTGTACAGAGCTTCCTTTCTGCTTCTGAGCCTCCATGTGCATGAGTCAGTGCAGAGGGGTCTGTCACTTTAAGATGACCCCCCTGTGAACCATTGAACAGGAAGAGCAGATGGTTCAGAGAACCTTTAAAAATGGTCCTCACCCAGCCCTCTCTTGCTTTGACCCTCCAGCTAGCTTCATGTAGCTCTGAGAATTCCCAGGACAAGCAGGGAAAAGGTTCTCTCATCTTGTCCCTCAGCCCATCACCATGACTTTTCCTAAGGGAATCATTGTAGGTCTGGGGCTGCCTCTTCTGTTTTTATTCTTTCCTGAGCTTAGGTGAGTGAATGTTGATGCCAAGATGGCTTTACTGGAGTATTAACCCCTGCTTAGATCTCTTCTACAAGTGTTAGAATTAGGAAGAACCTTAGAATTTTTCTAGTTCATCGTGTCCATTTTACAGATAAGGAAGCTGAGGCTAGGAAAGTGAAACGGTTTGCCCAAAAGAGTTTATCAGTGGAAGAGCCCAAACTCAAACTCAGGTCTTTCTGTCTCCCAGATCTAATATTTATTTTCTACTATTCAGTTTAACAAACATTAAACTACTATGGGCTACTTGTTGTTCAGTCATTCAGTTGTACCCAACTCTTCATGAGCTCATGGACCACATCACTCCAGGTCCTTCTATCCTGCACTACCTCTCAAAGTCTGTCCAAGTTCATGTTCATTGTTTCTCTGACACTATCTATCCTTCTCATCCTCTGCCAAACCCTTTTTTTTTTACTTCAATCTTTCCCAACTTCAGGGTCTTTTCCAATGAGTTTCATCTTCTCACTAGGTGGCCAAAGCACTGAAGCTTCAGTATTTGATCTTCTAGTGAATCGTCTGAATTAATTTACTTAAGTGTTGACTGATTTGCTCCCCTTGCTGTCCAAGGGACTCTCAAAAGTCTTCTCCAGCACCACAATTAGAACAGCTTTCCTTATAGTCCACTTCTCACAGTCATACATTGCTACTGGAAAACTATAGTTTTGACTCTACAAACCAAGCACTGAGCTAAACACTGAGAGAGCTAGTCTCTGACCCAAGGAGTTTACAAAAGAATAAAGAAATAATACATGTACATTTCACAAGTCTCCTTCCCTCCAGTCACACTGCCACCATCCTAATTCAGGCCCTCTTTATTTCTTGCCTAAGCCATTATAATAATGGCCTAATTCATCCCCCTGCCTTTGGTCTTTTCCTTCTCTGATCCATCTTCTATGTAGTCACCAGTGTAGAGGGGTGATCCTTCTATTCCTCTGCTTAAAAACTTCAGAGGCTGCCCAGGTATTCACTGACCAATTATCCTGTGGAAATTTAAGCTGCAGGTGAGAAAGAGGGGTGGGGATGGTTGGGCAATAGATTTAGATTTTAGAATCATAGAAAGCCAGAGGGGACATTTTACAGATGAGGACATCTCCAGCTGGAGGAAGTAAAATAATTTGTTTAAGGTCACCCAGCTAATTAGTGGCAGAGATGGTCCTAGGAGAGTCAGGATTCTGAGTCCAATGCTCATTTTACTGCACCATACTGCCCTCTCATATAAAGGCAATGACCTGCTTTCCAAATCTAAGATTTCATGTTAGGAATTCAGAACTCCCACAGCAAAGCTGGGGCTATAACTTCCTCCCATCTTCTGACTCTCATTCCAGTCTCTTTCCAGCTTTTCATACTGCCTTGAGCTAAGGCCAGGGGTGAGCTGGTAAAGGTTTAACAATGGCTGCAGGACACACAGTTATCCCTTCCATATTTAGACTTTCTCCATCTCGGTTTTGATATATCTCGGGTTGGCATAAGAAATTAAATGGGAATTTGGGGGAGTTTTGCAGAAGCTGTAAGTGACATGAAAAAGCCAGCAGATGACACAGAAAAAGTTTAGAAACTCAGAAATGCATAAATATGTATAGTATTATAGAATACCAACTCAAATTTTACAATAAGGTACTGTAAACATCCCATGAAAAGAAAAAGAAAAAATTCGGATTTCTTCTCTGGTACAAAGTGGGGGGCCCAAAAACTTTACATGGATTTTCCAGATTTCAAAGGCACCATGCCTCTAACCCCCGTAATATGGAAGGGATAACTGTACTTTTAAGTGTAACCTGCATTGTTAATATTTTCCCCATTACTTTCTTAAGTCTAGATTCTAGACAATCAACAGAACAAGAAACCAAGCCCTGATTGGTAGCATTTGCTGATTACTGAGGTATAAATGCTCCCACTGAATTTAACAATCAGCTCTCATTTTGAATTTAACAATATGACTGGGCTCCAGCACACCCCCAGCTAAGGCTTTATGTCTCCAAGAAGGTAAAACATCGATTCACGAATAACCATTAACATTAAATCAATTCTTTGATCAGATAATGAGTTATAGTCTTGGAAGACAAGAAGAAGGGCCTATATTCCACAAGACACAAAATCGTTAACTTCTTTTTTTAGGCAATTGGGGTTAAGTGATTTGCCCAGGGTCACACACCTAGGAAGTGTCAAGTGTTTGGTCTGAGGCTGGATTTGAACTCAGGTCCTAGCTGCCCCAAGATGGCTAGCTTTTGATGGGTGTATAGGTGAAAGGTGGATCTGGCATGTGAGATGTAGTCTGAGGCCAGGCGACATGATTTGCCCATTAGCTCACCACTCACATCTCCTTCTCCTCTTGCAGCTTGCAGGATTCTTTCTGCAGGCTCTCCAGCTGCGACTGAGCATACTGGAGCTCACTCGAGGTCCTCTCTAATTCCTTGGCCAGTTCCTGGTTGGTGAGTTTAAGTTTAGTGTTCTCTGCTTTGGTTTCATGCTTGTCATTGTTGAGGGCCGTGAACTGACCTTCCAGCTAGAAAGGGGTAACAGAGGTCAGGAGAAAAAGACAAGTCAGTCAGATCCTCTCAACTCCCCCCCAAAAAACAGATGGACATCTCAGGCTTCCCCCTCTCCCCTTGTTATTAACTCAGATTATTCTATTCCCTATTTTACATCCATATCTTCATGTAGGAAAGAGATCCTTTCAGTCATTCCTTTGTGTCTAGAAAAGACTTGAGTAAATCAGCCCAGACAGACTTATTCAATCTCCAGGAAAGGGAATTCTCTATCCTTTAATCATGACAGGATATTCTTTCAAAGGTCAAACTTAAAATCTGCTAGCACTGGGGCAGAGAACAATTAGGAGTCAAATACCCTCCTTGGGTTTGAGAAGTAGTATTAAATTCTTTTATTTATCTTTCTCTTCTTTTTTTATTTTTAAAAAACAATTAATTTATTTTTAGTTTTCAACATTCACTTTCATAAGATTTTGAATTTTAAATTTTCTCTCCCCTCTCTCCTCCCCCCACCAAGATGGCATGTAATCTGATATAGGCTCTACTTATACATTCATGTTAAACATATTTTCCCATTAGTCATGATATAAAGAACAATTAGGACTAATGGGAGGAACCATAAAGCAATAAAACAAAACAACAAAGGAAAAGGAAAGCAAATATTATGCTTCCATATTAACATGACAAAACAAGACAATGATAAATGTTGGAGAGGATGTGGGGAAAATTGGAACACGAATGTATTGTTGGTGGAGTTGTGAAATGATCCAACCATTTTGGAGAGAAATTTGGAACTATGCCCAAAGGGCTATAAAATTATGTATAACCTTTGACCCAGCAATACCACCTCTAGGTCTGTATCTCAAAAAGATCACAAAAATGAGAAAAAGACCCACATGTACAAAAATATTTATAGCAGTCCTTTTTGTGGTGGCAAAGAATTGGAAATTGAGGGGATGCCCATCAATGGGGAATGGCTGAACAAGTTGTGGTATATGAATGTAATCTTGTGCTATAAGAAATGATGAGCAGGCAGACTTCAGAAAAACCTGGAAAGATTTATATGAACTGATGCTGAGTGAAATGAGCAGAACCAGAAGAACATTATACACAGTAACAGCCACAGTGTGCAATAACTGACTGATAGACTTGGCTCTTCTCAGCAATGCAAAGATCTAAGATAACTCCAAAAGACTCAAGATGGAAAATGTTACCCACATCCAGAGAAAGAACTATGGAGTCTGAATACAGATGGAAGCATACTATTTGCTCTTCTTTTCCTTTGTTGTTTTGTTTTATTGCCTCATTCTTATGGTTCCTCTCATTAGTTCTAATTGTTCTTTACATCAAGAAATTATAAAACAAAACCAAAAGAATGATAAAATAGAAGACAACGTGAAATATCTCATTGGAAAAACAATTGACCTAGAAAACAGATCCAGGAGAGATAATTTAAAAATTATTGGACTACCTGAAAACCATGATCAAAAAAAGAGCCTAGACATCATTTTTCAAGAAATTATCAAGGAAAACTGCCCAAATATTCTAGAACCACAGGGTAAAATAGAAATGGAAAGAATCCACTGATCACCTCCTAAAAGAGATCCCAAAAGGAAAACTCCTAGGAATATTATAGCAAAATTTCAGAGATCCCAGGTCAAGGAGAAAATGGTGCAAACAGCCAGAAAGAAACAATTCAAGTATTGTGGAAACACAATCAGGATAACACAAGATTTAGCAGCTTCTACATTAAAGGGTCAGAGGGCTTGAAACAGGATATTCCAGAGTTCAAAGGAGATAGGATTATAGCCAAGAATCACCTACCCAGAAAAACTGAGTGTCATCCTTCAGGGGGAAAAATGAGCATTCAACAAAATAGTGGACTTTCAAGCATTCTTGATGAAAAGACCAGAGTTGAACAGAAAATTTGACTTTCAAATACAAGACTCAAGAGAAGCATGAAAAGGTAAACAGGAAAGAGAAATCATAAGGAACTTATTAAAGTTGAACTGTTTACATTCCTACATGGAAAGATGATATTTGTAACTCGTGAGAACTTTCTCAGTATTAGGGTGGTTGGAGGGAATATATATATATACATACACACACACATATATATATGTATATAGACAGAGGGCACAGGGTGAGTTGAATATGAAGGGTTGGTATCTAAAAAATAAAATTAAGGGGTAAGAGAGGATTGTATTGCGAGAAGGAGAAAGGGAGAGATAGAACTGTGCTCCTCTCCCAGCCTGGCACAACAGACCTTTCCTATCAACCATCCAGGTTGTCTGGGCTGGAAATTTGTTTCACTCTGTCTTTTTGTAGGTTCTACTGCTCTGGGATTTGTTTAGAGTCATTTTTTTACAGGTATTTGGAGGAGTTTGGGGGAAAGCTCAGGCAAGTCACTGCTTTTACTCTACCACCTTGGCTCCACCCACCAATCTCAGCATATTTAAAGAGAGGCATCATGGAATGAGAAATGGATTTAGAGTTCAAGGACCTAGGTTTGAATCCTTGTCCTGCTACTTATTACCTGTGTGACCTTGGGCAAATCCCTTTACCTCCCTGGGCCTCAGTTTCCACAGCTATCAAATGAGACAGTTGGGCGAGAAGTTCTAAGATCCTTTCCCACTGTCTGTAATCCTACCTGAGTGATCTGGGAGAAGTCACTGCTACCTCTCTGGCTGCCATTTTCCTTATTAAATGAAGGATTTGGACTATATATGTGACCTCAAGACTGCAGGTTCTCCACCCCTGGACTAGGTCGAGCTCTAAATGCTGTGATCCTTTTCCTCTATCCTTAAAACACTTACAGTAGTAAGAGGAAAAATCACTGAACTTGGATAACAATAATATTAGTAGCTCCTATTTATATAAAATTGAAGTTTTCCCAACAGCAACCTCATATTGAGCAAATGTTATTACCATCATTTTTATAATTGAAATAGAGGATGAAAAAAGTTAAGTGACTTTCACAGAATCCCACAGCCAGCGAGTGCTGGATCTGGGACTCAAATAGCCCTCCCTCACTTAAATCCAATTCACTTGCATGTCATGGCACCACAACAAAGGACAAACAGGAATGACAACAAACCCATATTTTCTGACTCTAAGAACAGTGCCCTTTTCTCTATGTCCTGATCTTCTAGGTTCAAATCCCAGACCTGTCACTCAACAGCTGCATGACCTGTGGATGAAGCCTTACAATTGGGTTGTCTGCTCCATTAGTGTGAGAGCTCGTTGAGAGCAGGGTTGTGATTTTTATATTTGTACCCCTAGTACTTAGCACAATACTTTGCAGGTAGTAAGTGCTCCATTAATGCTTCATTCATTCATTCATTCACTCAAATCACCTCACTTCCTAATAGAGAAAATGCAGTATAAAATAATCTGAAGACCACCTTTTCTACCTCCTTTCCAGGATGGGGGAAAGGACTTTGTAAGCAATAAGGTGCCCCAGAAATGTGATCCTTTGACTTCTCTCTACCAGTAGACTATCTCTGTATATCTTCAACCTTTTCACTAGACAAAGAATTATGCAATTAAAAATATAATATAAAAAAACTGGTGTAATTAATGCAGCTGGTGAAAGAGAGACAAGGATGAGAATAACAAGGAGTTCTGGAAGATTCCTCAGGGGCTCTTGGGTAATTAGGCAAGCATTTAGTAATTAAATAGCACTGCCATCATTCATTTAATAGATAAATCTAATTGGCAAAAACTTCATGTATAATAGGAATAAAGAGGAGAGGAAAAAGGAGATAGTCCCAGACTATGACAAAGAGCAAGCTGCCCTTTCCATAAGCATTTATTAACACTCGACTTTTCCCTCCCTCTCAGCCCTCATTGCCAAATGGTTGCTAAGTCATGTCGTTTCTGCTGAGACAATATCTGTCCCCTCCTCTCCTCTCACACCATAACCACCTTGGTTTGGGCCTTCATCGTCTGCCAGCCGGACAGTTGCAACAGCCTCCTGATTGGTTCCTCAGCCTTCCATCTCTTCCCTCTCCAATCCATCCTCCACCCAGCTGCCATATTGATATTCCCAAAGCACGGTTCTCATGATGTCACTCCACTGCTCAAGAAGAGGCAATGACTCACTCTTATCTCTAAGGAGAAAGTGCAAACTGTTCAGTCTGACTTTTCAAGCCCTTCACAATCTGGTCCCGGCCTCCTTTCTTGGCTTTTGGCAGCAGTCAACTTCATGCACTCTGCCTAGAAGTCAGGTTTGTCCATGAGATGTTCACTGCACATATTTTTAATTTATGGAATAAAACAAGCATTTCCATTATATAGTATAATAAAAAGATGATTGTACATGAAACTGCAAATCTATTACATACAACTTGCTATTCCTTTTAAATATATAATGAAGTTATTACATAAATTTCTTTTTTTTCCCTTTTCTTTCTTTCCTCCCCCTTGCCCTAGAGATGGCTACCATCAGACACAAATGTGTGTGTGTGAGTGTGTGTATGTAAAATCATTCTATAAATGCTTCTAATTATCAGTTCTTTCTCTGGATGCAGATAGTGTCTTTCTTTGTACGTCCTTTGTAGTTAATTTGGGTATTTATAATAATCAAAATGACTTATTGACTCAGTTACTCTTAAAACAATATTGCTACGGGCAGCTAGGTGGCACAGTGAATAGAGCACCAGCCCTGGAGTCAAGAGAACCTGAGTTCAAATCTGACCTCAGACACTTAACACTTACTAGCTGTGTGACCCTGGGCAAGTCACTTAACCCCAATTGCCTCATCAAAAAAAAAAAAACAACACAAAACAAAATATTGCTGTTACTATAAACAACATTCTCTTGGTTCTGGTCATTTTACTCTTCATTATTTTGTGCAAGTCTATCCATGTTTTTCCAAGATCATCAAGTTCATCATTTCTTATAGCATAGTAGCATGCCATCACGATCACATACCACAACTTGTTCACTGCATATAACACTGCACATAACCTGTCTCAGAGCCTTGAGAGCAACCATCCCACATACTTGGAATGTT